AGATAGATAGATAGATAGATAGATAGATAGATAGATAGATAGATAGATAGATAGACGTTCTCTTATGTCAATACATATCATAGATAAATTGTTAGAGAAAAAAACCCAACATATTTCACCATACCAATTCATATATTCTTGGAACTATTGTGGAGGGAAATGACCGTATCCACTTTTATTCCCTTGATTTATATTGTTATGTTTCATTTGCTTTCTTTTATTCAACGAATACAGAATGCTTTTCAGTGAATGGTGATAGTCTCAGGCTGGAATTAGGAATTAGAAAAACTTGTTAAAAGAATTGTCAAGGCAAAGAGTTGCAGCAGCAACAAGTTGCACGTTAGATGGACGCTAACTAAGGCACACAAATATATAAACTTTGCTAACCTCTAGCTTATTATAATAGTAAAAGCCACACCTCTTTTTATTAAAAAACAACCTTACTACCATAAACATGTGGTTGTATGAAGGAGGAGGGTAAAGTAGAAGAATCCAATCCAAAGAAACGTGTGTCTAGGGAGATGTAGTGTTGCTGCGTTGCTAAGATACAAAAGAAGCATCTTCATCCTTGGCTACCCACAAAGCTTCTCCCAAGACATGGAAGAGAGCAGCGAGAAGAGCAGGTTCTGTGGTTTGTTTCCAATTGACAAAGCTCCTTTTTCAAATTAACCTGGATCTGGTTTTGGAGGTGTGGCCTGTCCAGGTTCTTGAGCTCAAATAGCAGTTAACTTGCTTTCTGTTTGAACAGGGTTCCAGATTCTAGGAGTGACTCCCACCTGCAGGCCGGTTCTGATTTCTGAAAGGGTAAAACCATCTTGGCATCATTTTAAAATTATTATTATTATTATTATTATTATTATTATTATTATTACTACTATTATTATTATTGTTATTACTATTATTAATCATCGCACAGTCAGCCAGATGTTCAGACTGGATTTGGCATTTTAGTCTACCTATCGAGTCCTTACCAAGGACCTGGGATAGGCAGATGTGGATGTTTGATGGTATTACAGATATCCTCACAAGATGGAAGCCGTTCCTAGTAAGGCCGCCTTTTGCAATTGACTAATGCCGAATTTGCCAATGCCGATGATGGTGTTCAAGTGGTGCTCCAGTTGTTTTGAGATTGCACCCAAGGCACCTATTATTATTGGTACCACCCTTGCTTTTCTTCTTCTTCTTCTTCTTCTTCTTCTTCTTCTTCTTCTTCTTCTTCTTCTTCTTCTTCTTCTTCTTCTTCTTCTTCTTCATTATTACTATTACTATTATTATTATTATTATTTCTTCTCCTCTTCTCCTTCTCCTTCTCCTCTTCTCCTTCTCCTCCTTCCTCCTCCTCCTCCTCTTCTCCTTCTTCTCCTTCTTCGTTATTATTATTATTATTACTATTACTATTACTATTACTATTATTATTTCTTCTTCTCCTTCTTCTCCTTCTCCTCTTCTCCTCCTCCTTCCCCCTCTTCCTCCTCCTCTTCTCCTTCTCCTTCTCCTTCTCCTTCTTCTCCTCCTCTTTTCCTTCTCCTCCTCCTTCCCCCCTCTTCCTCCTCCCCCTCCTCCATTCTTCTCAGTGTTTTGATCAGAGGCTCAGCAAACCAACCTATAATAATGGGTATTGGAAACACAAAGTCATGTACACATTAATTTATTATTCAACTTGTTTTCTTTTTTCATAGATCCCTCTAATCTGGAGATACTGGGGAGCCAGCCATGGAGAGCGCCTACTTGAGGAAAAGCCTGGGCACCTGCTTGGCAGAAGGCCTTGCTGAAATTGCGGAACATCGGCCCGCAGATCCTGTCTTGTACCTGGCCCACTGGATTTACAAGTACAAGAAGAACATGATTGAGGAACTGCAGGTGGGATTTCGGCTTCTAGTCTCCTTTTGGGGGGTTCTGCAGAATTCTGAAGGCCCCTCGGGGTCCCTGCAATTTCACACAGAGTGGACGGTTTTGGAGAGCTGACTCTGTGTCCCTTGTTCTTTCAAGTCCTGAAAATAGGTTTTGTTCTTTCACATGGATAGTCAGAGTTCTCATGCGCCTGATTCACCAGGACTGTGAACTCCTGGGTTTGAGATCTTTCAAGGGGAAAGGTAGTGTGCTCATAACCCTTTGTCCCCTTCCCTTCCCTTCCCCGTTCCTTTCCTCTCCTCTCCTTTCCTTTCCCTTCCCCTTCCTCTTTTCATTCTTCCTTTCATCTTCCTTTATTTCCCCTTCCCTTCTCTTCATCTTTTCCTTCCTCCTTTCGTTCTTTTTTCCCCTTCCCCTCATCTTTTCCTCCCTTCCCTTCATCTTTTCCTCCTTTCATTCTTCCTTTATTTTCTCTTCCCTCTACTCTTCTTTTTCCTTCCTTCCTTCCTTCCTTCCTTCCTTCCTTCCTTCCTTCTTTCCTTCCTTCCTTCTTCTTTCTTTGTTTCTTTCTCTCTCTCTCTCTTTTCTTTCTTTCTTTGTTTCTTTTTCTTTCTTTCTTTCTTTGTTTCTTTCCTTCTTTTCTCTTCTTTCTTTCTTTTTTCTTTCTTTCTCTCTCTCTTTCTCTCTCTCTCTTCTTTCTTTCTTTCTTTCTTTCCTTCCTTCCTTTTTCTTTCTTTCTTTCCTTCCTTCCTCTTTCTTTGTTTCTTTCTTTCTTTCTCTCTCTTTCTTTCTTTCTTTGTTTCTTTGTTTCTTTCCTTCTTTTCTCTTTTCTCTTTCTTTCTTTCTTTCGTTCTTTCTTTCTTTCTTTCTCTCTCTCTCTCTCTTTTTTCTCTCTCTCTCTTCTTTCTTTCTTTCCTTCCTTTGTTCCTTCCTTCCTTCCTCTTTCTTTCTTTCTTTCTTTCTTTCCTTCCTTCCTTCCTTCCTTTTCCTCTCTCCCTCCCTCCCTCCCTCCCTCCCTCCCTCTCTCTCTCTCTCTCTCTCTCTCTCTCTCTCTTTCTTTTTTTCTTCCCATACCATAAATACATTGCAGATGAGATGAGGGGGGCATAACACATTTTCTTTCAGCCTCACCTGAGGTGAAGGAAAGGGAATTTTGCTACTCAGGCTCCAAGCCCAGCCAAACATTAAATAATGTTCTTTGCTTCTTATTCTCGGTGTTTTGAGGATGGCAAAAATAGAGGGAGAAAGTCAAGAGGATTGGGCGCTGCCTACAGACTCCTTTGGAAGGACGGATGGGATCCCTCCTTTTGCCTATAAGTGTCCAGTTTGGGGCTCCTGGAAACTAAAATTGACGTCTTTTCTGCTTGTCTTCTTTTCCCATTCTTCTTTACTCTATTGGTATGCAGGGCTGGCCTTGTGTTCCCTCGACTTCCACCCACAAAACCCACTTTTCTAAAAGGCCCTGCAGTTGTGGGAGCTGTCAAATGTTTGTTTTATTGCACTCCTAGAGGAAATTGGACAGGGAAGAACTGGAGCGAGAGCGTGAGGAGGCTCAAAAGGAAGTGGAAATGCTGGAAAAAATGAAAGAAGAAGAACTTTTGATTCAACAAAAGCTGGAAGTAGAGAAACAGGTACGGTGCTCTTTTTTATTTTAAAAAAATAAGATGTACGTATTTGTGCTATAATGGCTGCTTAAGTCTTCTGATTATATATTTTAGGCCGTGGGTCTAAAATGCAAGGTTCCCCAATTTAAAACATTTTGTTTTGCAGGGTTGCAAACATCCACTGAACCATCTTCTTAAAGTGAATCAATTCCCTAGGTCATATCTCAAGGCAAATTAGGCTCCCAAAGCTGGTTTGTAAATATAAAATATAAATGTTGTTATTATGTTATTATGGAAGTTTTTAAGACGAGACTGGACAGCCATTTGTCCAAAATGGTGTAGGGTTTCCTGCCTGAGCAGGGGGTTGGACTAGATGACCTCCAAGGTCCCTTCCAACTTTATTATTATTATTATTGTTGTTGTTGTTGTTGTTGTTGTTGTTGTTGTTGTTGTTGTTATTATTATTATTATTATTATTATTATTATTATTATTATTATTATTATTATTATGTCCAGGTATGCCTGTATCAATCTAGCAGAACAATTACAGTTACCTCTTTTTACTCTGAAATCATGCTGCCTATCTGAGCCTACGTCTGGTGGCTTAAAGACACATGCATTTCAAAGAACTAAACATTTTATTATAATAATGATGATAATGATAATGATAATGATAATGATAATAATAATAATAATAATAATAATAATAATAATAATAATAATAATAAAGTTGGAAGGGACCTTGGAGGTCATCTAGTCCAACCCCCTGCTCAGGCAGGAAACCCTATACCATTTCGGACAAATGGCTGTCCAGTCTCTTCTTAAAAACTTCCAGTGTTGGAGCATTCACCGCTTCTGGAGGCAGGTAGTTCCACTGGTTAATTGTTCTCACTGTCAGGAAGTTTCTCCTTAGTTCCAGGTTGCTTCTCTCCTTGGTTAGTTACCATCCATTGCTTCTTGTCCTGCCTTCAGGGGCTTTGGAGAATAGCTTGACTCCCTCTTCTTTGGGGCAGCCCCTGAGATACTGGAACGCTGCTATCCTGTCCCCCCTCGTCCTTCTCTTCATTAAACTAGACATACCCAATTCCAGCAACCGTTCCTTATATGTTTTAGCCTCCAGTCCCCTAATCATCTTTGTTGCTCTTCTCTGCACTCTTTCTAGAGTCTCAGCATCTTTTTTACAGTCTCAACATCTTTTTTAATCTATTATTATTTACCATTCGTTGACCGTTCATTTTATTCGTTCATTCATTGATTCACTGTTTACTCCCATATATCGGGGTTTCGAGAACTTTGTTAAACGTGAAGCTACTGTCTAAGATTAGGAGTTTAGAAAGGTAGAAAAGCAAAGATACAATTAGATTATTGTTGTTTTCAGTAGATGTAGCCTGGGTATATGTAATTATGTAAGCTAAGCCCAACTAACCACCTTGAAAAATCCAGAGCTTGTATTATGGTTCAGAGAGCTGAAATTCATCCAGTCAACTTTGTTTTAAAACGTAACTACAGTCTATGACTTAGTGATGCTGTTTAAAATAGAGGTTCATTGTTCCTGGCCACATTAAAATACTTTATTCCTCCAATTTTTGAAGGACTAGAAAAGCGTATCAATTTTGGGGGGGTTGTTGTGAATAAAGCAGATTAAGAAAAAATTAGGAAAGTGATTGATGGATATCCTGGCTTTATTTACCTTGACAATCAAGATCACTAGAGAGATGGAACAATATCCAGCAAGGTTTTCCTTACTATGGAAAAGGCGAGTTTTAACCTATAACTAAACTAAGGGACTTTGTTGTTAGTTGTGAAGTCATGTCCGACCCATCGCGACCCCATGGACAACGTTCCCGTAGGCCTTCCTGTCCTCTACCATCTTCTGGAGTCCATTTAAGCTCAGGCCTACTGCTTTAGTGACTCCATCCAGCCACCTCATTCTCCATCCAGCCACCAGTCCCCTTCTTCTATTAATAATAATAATAATAATAATAATAATAATAATAATAATAATAATAATAATAATAATAATAATAATAATAAATTTAATTTATATGCCGCCCTTCTCCCAGCTCTCAATCTTTCCCGGCATTAGGCTCTTCTCCAGTGAGTCCCTCCTTCTCATTAGGTGGCCAAAGTACTTGAGTTTCCACTTCAGGATCTGGCCTTCTAAAGAGCAGTCAGGGTTGATCTCTTCTAAGGCTGACCGGTTTAATTTCTGGAATGGGAATAAGAACAGAAGAAGCAACAGATCACCCCTATCTCCAAGGACTAGCCCTCTATCAAACCAGTGTTGGTCCCATTCTGCCAGTCAGAAAGATCTAGGCAGCCATTCTCACCCACCAGATGTCTCTTTGGAAGCTGGGGGTCTGGCAACTGCTAAAGTACAAGTCAAAGTAGCCTTGATGGATAACATTGAGCTGGTGGAGAAAAGGGAATGCATCTATACCAGCCCAATGTAGCCAAGAAGAGCTGGGCAGATCTTAGCCTTGGACGATGTGTCATTAGTGACACGAGACAGAACATTTATATGGCAGTGTGATTGTCCAGAAAAATGGGGAAAGCACAATTTTAAAATTAGAATGGCTAAGGATGACCAAGAACTGCCTCTGCATTGGAATAGAAATAAGTGAAGCCGTGTGCTGCAGCTGCCAAAAAAGCCAACGCAGTCCTAGTCTGCATTAACAGAGGGATAGAATCAAGATCACATGTTAATACCACTCTACAATGCCTTGGTAAGGCCACACTTGGAATACTGCATCCAGTTTTGGTCACCACGATGTACAAAAGAGATTGAGACTCTAGAAAGAGTACAGAGAAGACCATCAAGGATGATCAGGGGACTGGAGGCTAAAACATACAAAGAACAGTTGCTGGAATTGGGTATGTCTAGTTTAATGAAGAGAAGGACTAGGGGTGACATGATAGCAGGGTTCCAATATCTCAGGGGTTGCCACAAACAAAAGGGAGTCAAGCTATTCTCCAAAGCACCTGAAGGCAGGGCAAGAAGCAATGGATGGAAACTGATCAAGGAGAGAAGCAACCTAGAACTAAGGAGGAATTTCCTGACAGAACAATTAACCAGTGGAATGACTTGCCGCCAGAAGTTGTGCTCCAACACTGGAAGTTTTTAAGAAGAGATAGGACAACCATTTGTCTGAAATGGCATAGGGTTTCCTGCCTGAGCAAGGGGTTGGACTTGAAGACCTCCAAGGTCCCTTCCAACTCTGATTCTATTCTATTCTACTCTACTCTACTCTACTCTACTCTACTCTACTCTACTCTACTCTACTCTACTCTACTCTGTTCTGTTCTGTTCTACTCTACTCTACTCTACTCTACTCTATTCTATTCTATTCTATTCTATTCTATTCTATTCTATTCTATTCTATTCTATTCTATTCTATTTTATGTTCTAATTCTATTCTATTCTATTCTATTCTATCATTATTAGCATCATGAGGATGTGTCCTTCACAAACACTTAGCAAAGGGTCCTCTGTGCCATGATCAGAAGGAGTACCATGTCTCTCTCCCATTACAGTCAGAATTTAGTTTCGGGGCTCCCATCTCTCTTTTCATGTCTGTGTCCCCCTTCCGCCATATGTCCCCCCCCCCCGTGGTGTGCAACAAGCATACCCCTCTGATGCAAACTCTGTCATTTGAACCAAAGCGGCCCCAAGCCGGGGACTCTTTGCTAACTGAAACACTTGCATGAAATGGTTGCAGGCCCAGATGGAGCGAGAGCAGGGGGACCGGGAGAGGATGGAGCGAGACCGGGCCGAGGACCTCCTGCAGGAGCAGAAACGACAGGCCGAGCTGGAGGTGAGAGAAGTGCCCCTCACCCGTGTTTCAGCCCCCCCCCCCAAGAAAGATACTGTAATCCCAGTGAGGAGGAACCAGACGGGTTCACCAGAGGCAGCCTCAGCGAGGAGGGGAAAAAACGCCGGACACCTTGACATGATTTTATGTTCAATAGGAGACCCGTATTTTATAGCCCTCTTCCCCTCCATTTAAAGAGAAGGAGGGAGAAAGGCCGCCCCTCAGTTGATATCTCGGCCCAGTGACGCCACTGCTGAGGAGAATCTTTTTTTCTCCGTGCTGGTTGGATTGTGTGTCCCATCATCTCCAGCCTCTAGAGATCACCAAATGAATGTTTGTTCCAGGCGAAGATTGCCGCCGAAAAGGAGGCGGCCTCGAAGACGTTGGCTGAGCTCAGTGACAAATATGGAGCTCCTCACCTCAGTCGGGTTGAAGAGATCGATGAAATGGAGCAATCTGAGGTAAGTAAAATGACTCTGTCCCCTCTCCCCCGACTCTCTTCTCTCCCTCCCTCTTTCTTCTCTCTCTCTCTTCCTCTCTCTCTCCCTCCCTATCTCCTCTCTCTTTTCTCCCTCCCTCCCTCTTCTCTCTCTCTCCTCCCTCTTCTCTCTCTCTTCCTCTCTCTCTCTCTCCCTCCCTCCCTCCCTATCTCCTCTCTTTTCTCCCTCCCTCCTTCCCTCCCTCTCCTGTCTCTCTCCTCTCTCTCCCTCCCTCTCTCCTCTTTTCTCTCTCCCTCTCTCCTTTTCTCTCTTCTCTCTCTGTCTCTCTGCGTCTCTCCCCCTCTCCTCTCCCTCCTTCTTCTCTCTCTCTTCGTCTCTCTCCCTCTTTCTTCTCTCTCCCTGCCTTTCTTTCTTCTCTCCCTCCCTCCCTCTCTCTTCTCTCTCTTCCTCCCTCCCTCCTTCCCTCCCTCTCTCCTCTCTTTTCTCCCTCCCTCCCTCCTTCCCTCCCTCTCTTCTCTCTCTCCCCCTCTCCTCTCCCTCCCTTTCTTCTCTCCCTCCCTTTCTTCTCTCTCCCTCCCTCCCTATCTCCTGTCTTTTCTCCCTCCCTCCCTCTTTCCCTCCCTCTCTCCTGTCTCTCTCTTTCCCTCCCTCCCTCCCTCTCTCTCCCTCTTTCTTCTCTTTCCCTGCCTTTCTTTCTTCTCTCTCTCTCTCTTCCTCTCTCTCCCCCCCTCCCTCCCTATCTCTCTTCTCTCTCTTTCTTTTTTCATTGGGGTGGCATCAAAACATTTCAGCGAAACAAATAAACAATCAAGTGGCTTTGCTGGGCTTTACAAATTCCACTAGTCCTACAAACGTGCTTCAGTCTTTCTCCCCTTTCTCTCTCTCCCCCCCTTTTCCCCCCCCTATTTTTTTTAGCATGCCTTGACTACTGTACCCGACTCGGAGGAAGAACAATAAATCTGCTCCTGTAGATTCCAGAAATGTCACGGTTTTTCGGCAAACAGAGATGAAACACATCAAGGAGACTTAGAATAAGTTAACACAGTTAAGTGAATTGAAAAATTAAAAAAAACAAACATTAAAATTTAGCCTAACGCGCTTCAGGTTTTAATTTTTTCTTATTGGAAGATGTAAGGATATCATGGTGAGAATATCATAAAGTCTTCTTAGAGTCGATCTCAAATCTAAGCAGAACTTCTGAGAGTCGTTTTCAACTTTTAAGAGGTGAGTTAATGTGTTCGTGTCATTGTGGTGTCCCCTGGTGCCCTCTGAGCTGTGTTGTTTTCTTGCAGACGTTTCATTACCCAACTAGGTAACACCATCAGC